GATTTGGCTACTTTAAGAAAAAGTCTCTTTGTGCTCCAGTGTGGTCTTTGTTCCACATAAGCTTGTATCTGATGGAAGCTGAGACCTTCACTGTTCCTATGACCATGGCCGTGACATTCTCGTCAGATCTGCAGCCAGAACACGGACGTGTCCCTTTGTCTTGCTTCAGTGTTAGGTTCTCCCTCTCGAGCCAGCCCTGGAAGTGTGGTATTATGGAGAGAGCAGAGTCACAGCCCGGGTAGTTTCCTGACTTTGTGGCAGTCACAGATGCTCACCAGGCCGCAGTTTCCTACTCCATAAAATGAAGGCTCAAACACAGTGATTTCCAGGTTTGACATCATTATCATTTCAGTGAATCACATTAATCTGATGAATCCCATTCTTTGCTAGCCTTTGCCCAGTTTAGCTGAAAAATAATTTTTTTTTTAAAGATTTTATTTATTTGACAGAGAGAGATTACAAGTAGACAGAGAGGCAGGCAGAGAGAGAGAGAGAGAGAGAGAGAGAGAGAGAGAAGCAGGCTCCCTGCCGAGCAGAGAGCCCGATGCGGGACTCGATCCCAGGACCCTGAGATCATGACCTGAGCCGAAGGCAGCGGCTTAACCCACTGAGCCACCCAGGCGCCCCTGAAAAATAATTTTTAATTTCAAAGGTGACTTTGGTCCAGGAGGGCTGTGGTGCGGCCATGTGTGTATCAGGCAGCAAGGCCATGGCTAGACCAGACGGGACGTTCCCAGGCAGCACAGTTGGTGCCAAGTCCAGAAGTGCCATCGCTACCCGCTAGGCATTATTTGACTTTAGGAGGGAACCAGGGTTTCTACTGCAAAGATAAATCAGAAAGTTAAGTTTAAATTACATTTAAATACAGTTTGTACTTGGCACAGTGGGCCTTTTCTCAGAGAGGAAACTTATTTTTACGTAGTTTTAAACAATCTTGTTGAGAGGAATCACAGTTATAAATGAAGGAATGCGTGAACTTTTCAAGAGAATATGAAGGATTTTTCTTCTTTGTATGCAGATGCTGTTATGAATGAAGCTCTAGGTTAGAATCTGAAAGATTCAGTCGAGGAGCTTAGACGTTGTTGGAATCTTGTGGACGAGTTTCTGTGTGTTCTTGTGTGTGCCGCTTGCTTACTTAACAGAGACAGGGAAGTGGCGTGGTCTGGCCAGTTCTCCTTTCAGCATCTCGTTAGGTGGTCGTTTTGAGGGAGTTTGTAAAGATAACACAACTCTTTATTCCTTTCCCATTGAAGTGTAACCTTTCGTATCTATTGACATTTTCCCCCTTTACCTTAGACAAGAACTGCTTTTCCTGTTTTTCTTTACAGTTCATGACTACTGTAGAATAACTAATGCTCACAGTGAAAAATGATTTTAAAGCAGCAACTTACGGGTTGCACAGAATGTGACTTCTGTGATTTCCCAGATGACATCTGCTTTGTAACATTTTGTGGTATTTTACACACTGATGGTATCTTAGGACACTTCATTGGCTTGATTTTTTTAGGATTTTGGAACTGGGATGTCATTGAAAAGTGGTATTTGTTAAATGTTTGATGTCACAGGGAGTAAGATTCTTTCATTGCATTTCATAATAATCCATTTCTCTTCTCCTAGATGGTTGTTACAGGCCACAGAACTTGACCCTGTTTAGAATTATGTAGTTTTACATGGGAGAGTGGTTAAATAACTCCGTTATATTGGATTTGACCCATTGAATGGATACTTTCTGTAATAGTGACTTCTGTGTCATTTGGACTTCAGTCCTTTGCAGTCTGAAGGACTGAGATTTGAGTTCTGACTTATTTCTTTGGTGTGTAACCTCGGACCAGTGTTCACATTTTTTGAGCTTTACTGTCTTTGTCCATGAAATAGGGATACTGCCTACATTGTTGCGAGCATAAAATGAGATCACGTCAAGAGCCTGCTACTTAGTCGGTACTCTAAGAAATTAATGATGACCATTAATCACAATAACAACAATAATTTTTAGAGTTTGAATGTCACTGATTTATTAAATATTCTGATACTGCTTTCCCATTGTCTGAGGAGTAGGACAGGCAGTTCATTCTAGCAGAATAGATGGTGAGAAGCCAAGCAGAATATCCCTGATTTGTTTATCTACTATTTTAGGAGAGATTCTTGTTCACTAATATTCATTGGAATTTGAGAACAGATTGAGCAGCTGATGTAGGAGATATTTTCTTTGCTTCACATAATTTGAAGAACACTGTCTACCTTTTACACCCTTTATATTCTTTTTGACATGCATCCAAATTCAACATATTTTATATCCCACAAAATAGTGTTGTTTATTTATTATTCATTAATAAGACATTGTTATTTTGCATGCCTATTATTTACTTAGATTTACCCAGATAACCATTATTTTTCAGCCCTGTCTTTAACTCCTTGAGTTATCTGGTATCATTTTCCATTTTTCTATGGAACTGCCTTTAGAATTTCTTTGAATGCAGGTACCATGGTAATATATTTTCTCTTTTTGCTTATCTAGAAATGTCTTTATTTCACCTTTATCTTTTGGAGGAAATTTTTTTGCTAGTTAGAGAATGGTAAGTTAGAGTTATTTTTCATTCTTGAATTTCCAGTTAAAAAAATAGATGCCCACTCTCTGCTGAAATTCTTCATCTTGATTTTTTTTATGCCATCCTTATTACTTTGAAGCCTTTGTCAGGTAATAAGGAGGCTGCTGGTGAATCTGTCTTTATTGTCTGTTTCTTCTCTTGGTTCTCTTTCTTGGATCTGGTCATCTGTTCCTGCGGTTGAGGACGCTGTGGAGAGGCAGGGAGCCAGGATGGGGCGATGTCCCCGCGGTACGGTCAAGGACTAACACAAAACTTGTGAACTTTGTGAGGGTCAGTTGGCCCTTGGGTTTGGCCGCGCCGCCGCCGTGTGGTTCTCCAGGAATGACCGCGGAAGGTCGCAGCGTTTACCAGAGCGTCGTCCTCAGTGGGTCTGGACGATCGTTTCTCTCCTCCGGCGCCGTGAGGCCGCTGAAGGCCGTGGGACAAGCGCAGATCAGAACCCACTCCTCCTCAGGGTCTTTGTCCCTCAAACCTGGGCTGCTTCGGCGGCCCCCAGTCCAGTTTTCGTCTTCACGTCCCTGCGAAGTCGTCACAAGCTCCGCTCGCTTCTCTGCGTCTTGGCGGCGGCCTCTGGCAGCTGCTGCCGCTTCTCAGTCTCTTGCGCGGGTCGGTGAGATGCCGCGCATGCGCTCGGCGCGCGTGGGGGCGGAGGGCCTGGGGCTGCCCGCGAGGCTCCTGCCTGCGCGCCTCCTGCGGCGGGAGAGGCTCTCAGCGGCCTCAGACGGACGATTCCTCACGTCTCAGTTTGCTGGTTGTTCTCGCCTCGTTCGCCAGCAGCTACTTTGTCAGTCAGAAACCGTAGCTCCTCCGTTATCTCCTCCGTAGAGCGCACGGTGCAGCGTCGCGCTGCCTGCGTCCGAGTTAAGCCGTGGCTCCTGCGCTGCGCGGAGAAGCGAAGTGCCGAGCTTCGCTGGTTTCCCTTCACCTCCCGGTCGTACCCTGGACCTTCCGTTGGACGAGTCGTTCCTTCCGTTTCAGGGTTGTGTTTACTTAGGTCAGTGAGGGCGGTGTTTCAGTGATGTCTTTGAGGAAATGAGTATTTTCATATGGATAGTGAAAAATGAAGTAAGCGACGAATATTTCAGTTTTATATTAAAAGCGGACCGTAATGCTAGAATGCACAGTGAAGCCTAAACCTTAAAAAGCTGTATTTGTAAGAATGTGAAAAAAAAAGTGTGTGAAGAAAGGCCTTCACGAATGTCTCTTACTTCACCTTTATTTCCCCTTAACTAATAAGCATTATTGAAATGTGTATTTTTGGATGATTATGGGAAAAATAGTGTCTTAAAACTATCTACAGTACAGTTTATGAGTATAATCATCAAGTATAGACAGCTTCTACCATGAGAATTTATAAGTGGATTATTGACATAAAAGGATCCTACCCATAGATCTGAACTAAAGAATCAGGTGTTTGATTTAGAATTAGGACCAAAACTCCTAATTCCTTTCTTCCTTATATGCCCTTTATGTCCTCCTTATTGCAATGAAGGACCTTGGGGCCAAGGTATTTTTAACAACATGTACGATTGGAAGTCCTGCTGGATAATCAAGGAAAGAAGATCTGTCTTTGACTAGTTTTTTTCATTTTATCTTGTGCAGGAGGCATAGACCTCCAGCTAGAGGGGGCTTTCGTAGCCGGGGCCCCCCCTCCTGTGCTCTAAGTCCTCCGTGGCTTTCGCCCGTGAGACCTGCTTCCCAAGGCTGCTCCTAGCCGGCCCCGAGGGGAGCGGGGAGGCTTGAGCAGGCTGGTCCCTGGAAGTCATGGACCTCTCGAGGGCTCGTTGGCTCTAGTTCTACCTGCTGGTCCTGCTGATCCTTCCGTAGGTTACACAGCAGTCCGGGGTGAAGCCTTTCTCTCCCTCTCTCCTTCTCTGTGGTTTGTCTTACTGTCTGTATCCCTCCCCACTTCCTCTCATAGGAATCTCCTGGACAGGAGTAGAATTCTGGCAGATTTAATCCTGTCCTGGTGTCTGCTTCCCGGAGGGCCTCGACCAACACGCGGAGAGTAGCGTCTCAGTTTTGTTCTCCTGGCGAGTTTATTGTCAGTTTATACGTAAATTTGCTTTCAGAAGCCTGAATTATTACAGGAGACAGACCAGGAGCTCATGTTCTAAAAAACTGTTAATTTACTCAGGGTGATTGGATGGTTGTGAAGTATTAGGCAGTTCATATGTCATCATTGAGAAAACTAAGGACATTTAACGGAAAGTAGAAGGAAATATTTCCGGGGGTCTGCTGATAAGTAATATATTGTTGAAAGCAGCATAGTAAATAAGTAATAACAGATTTATTTTAGTTACAAATATTTGGTAGGCCTTGCTTTCAACTTACATGATTTATACAAGAGAGCTTATATTTTATGTTAATGGTAAAATTCTTCTTTCTTTGCAGAATCATGATGAAAGATTCGTTTTCATTGCAGAGTGGTATGATCCAAATGCTTCACTTTTTCGACGTTATGAACTTTTATTTTACCCAGGGGACGGGTCTGTTGAAATGGTAAATAAACCTTTTTTTCCCTTTAAAGTTAGCAAAGGGAGTGAAGTGGGATGAGGAAGAAGAGTAGGACTGCCTTCTGTGTACTTGCCCTTGAGAATATGTATATATGTTTCTTCTTTTTTTAATGGGAATTCTTTTGTAATTCCAATACAAGAAGATAACTTCGTGCCTTTATCTTTATTGTCAAGTAGTAATTAGTATTTTTGATTGGGAAACTGAAGTAGGATTATTCATGTTTTAGATTAAGCAATAGTCAATAAGTGAATGTCATAGATAAAGATTATCATGGTCCTAAATATGTTGCCATTATTGAAAGCTGTTACCTCTACAACAAGTCAAATTGAAGATCAGGTTAAGAGAGTCCCACTTGTTTCTTTTTGTCTCTTAATTGGCAACCATTTTACAGGTAGATCTCTTTGGTATTGGCATTCTGTGTAGGGAAGAAAGCAAAAATTTGGAATTTTTCTGGGATTTCATAAGCACTAATTTGCTGAAACATTTGGCAATATATTCATGGTTTTTTAAAGTATTAAATTTGTAATAAGTTTTTGTGTTATTACTAGATTGGACTAGGAAATACAGAAGTTATAAAAGAAATTATGATTTGTAACAAAAATGAAACCATGTAAGCTATGTTTAATAAAGCAGAATTAAGAATCATTTCTAATTTACAGTAAGAGTAACACTGTCTGTTGATACTTATGTGTCTTACTGTGTTGTTTTTGTTCCAGCATGATGTGAAGAATCACCGCACCTTTTTAAAGCGGACCAAATACGACGATCTTCACTTGGAGGATTTATTTATAGGCAACAAAGTGAATGTCTTTTCTCGACAGCTGGTGCTGATCGACTATGGGGATCAATATACAGCTCGCCAACTGGGCAGCAGGAAAGAAAAGTGAGAAAATCCTTTCTTCATTTTTTTTTTTTTTTTTTTTTAAGATTTTACTTATTTATTTGACCAAGAGTCAGAGAGAGCACAAGCAGCAGGCAGAGGGAGAGGGAGAAGCAGGCTCCGTGCAGATCAGGGAGCCCATGCAGGACTCGATCCCAGGACCCTGGGATCATGACCTGAGCCAAAGGCAGACGCTTAACGACTGAGCCACTCAGGCGCCCCTGTTTTCTTCATTCTTAAAACATTGTATGTCTTAGTGCAGAAGACTAATTTCTTGTTTCTCTCTTGTGTTTGTATAGTATCAGTACTTTTCCAATTCAGTGTGAGGACGTTGTTAGGATTTTGAGGAGTAGATTCAGCGATTGGCTCTTCACTCAGATGACAAAGCGAGAGTCTTAGGTGATGATTATTTTCTGGAGCAAAAAATACAGACTTTTTATATGTCTTCATCTTTCTTTGTAAGATGCATTTAACTGGGAACTGAGAATGTTGGAACATAGATAGTATTGGTGTATAGGATAAACCTGGCTTATGGGGAAAAAATAGTGAGTGGCAGAGCAGGGAAAGCCCTGTGAAGGTATTTGAGATGGATCCTGAAAGAGGAATTGGATTTTTTAAAAATTATTTTTATTAACATATAATGTATTATTAGCCCCAGGGGTACAGGTCTGTGAATCATCAGGTTTACACACTTCACAGCACTCAACGTAGCACAGACCCTCCCCAGTGTACATCACCCAGACACCCCATCCCTCCCCCCGACCCACCCTCAGTTTCTTGAGATTAAGAGTCTCTTATGTTTGTCTCCCTCCTGATCCCATCTTGTTTCATTTTTCCCTTCCCTACCCCCATGGCCCCCACATCCTGCCTCTCAAATTCCTCATATCAGGGAGATCATATGATAATTGTCTTTCTCTGATTGACTTATTTCGCTCAGCATAATACCCTCTAGTTCCATTCACATTGTTGCAAATGGCAAGATTTCGTCTCTTCTGATGGCTGCATAGTGCTGCATAGTATTCCATCGTGTATATACATCACATCTTCTTTCTCCATTCATCTGCTGATGGACATCTAGGCTCTTTCCCTTGTTTGGCTGTTGTGGACATTGCTATTATAAATAATGAATTGTTTTTTTAACCGGTTAGATCAAGAGTAGGAATGTTGGTCACAGGAATATGTATAAGCCGGGGTTCGAAGGCAGAAAGTTGTATGTCATGTACTGGGAAGAGCCCATTGTTCTGTGACTGGCTTGGTGGTTAAATTAAAAAAAAAAAAAACTTTGATTAGTAAAATAGCCTGAATTAGGATGGTAGCAGTAGGTATGAAGAGGAAGAAATGTGCAAGATTGACAGAAGCAGAGGAATAGCAGTCATGGGCAGCACTCAGTGATGACTTACTATTATTACATCAGGCATGGTGTTCAAGTGATCTGTATGGGTTGAGTCCCGTGACAACCTAATGAAAAAGGTGCTATTATGATTAGCTCCACTTTGCAGATGAGAGAGTTGAGGCTTGGAGGAGATGTTAACTAGCTTGCTTAAGGGCAAGAGGAAGGGCAAGAAAAAGCCCACAGTCCAGTGTGAGTTAAAAATAGGAGGATTCAGTCATAGGAGAATGGAGGGGACCTGGAAAATGGTTGCCCTCTTCCTGCCTCAATCCATTTGCATGTCTTTGGGCCCCCAGCACATCTCCTTACACGTTACAAGTACTGTATCTGTGTTGGTCCAGTGAATCAGTGGATAACAATTTAAAACTCATTGTCTACTCTTGCCTTTTTAAAAAATTTCCTCCCTGTTTATAGATGATGACCTTTGATCTAGTTGACCAAGGTGTTTTTGTGTAGATTGTAACGAATGTTGCCCATTCTTGAGCTTTATACACAGACCTAACATGTGCCTGATAAATATTGCCCAAATGAAGAGAGAATGATTGCTACAAAAACAATAAAAAAGTTATATAGTTATGATACACAGAAACTTGTCTTGTTCACAACTGTGTCCCTAAAGACCGTAATCGTGATGCCTCAAACAATCAGTTATTCACAGGGACCGCCCCGCAAAAAAGTGCTGAACGAATGAGTGAATTGGTTTACATCACTGAGAATAGTTCTGCCTGGAGGAAGAGATGGAGGCTGGCTGGCCTCCCCAGCTTCCCCCTCCGCTCCCACGGCGCGCTGCCCGTCCTGTGATGCAGAGACGCCGTACCCCGGTGCCTCCCCATGGCCGTGTCTCTAGTCTTTTCCCCATATCGTCAGGGCTGCGTTTCTCCACCTGAGTTCTGGTTTAGAACAGACACAGAGAATGTGGGAGACGCAGCAGAAAATCAGTCTGTACTGACAACGGTTACTTTTTACTAATGTTTTTCCTCTGAATATCAATATTCAGTATTACTAAGGTGGCATTTTAATTTTCAATCTCTGCATTTATTAGTTTGCAGTCTTCTGAGGCTAGAATGACTGTATTTGAATTGAAATTTACTTCCGTTGTCATCTTTTTCGGCTTCAGTTTCTGTGGCTTATATATTGTCTTGTCTTGGGAGATTCCTTGCATTGTGGAGTGATTGTTGTGTAAGTAAAAGTAGGGACCACTGGTGGAAGGTAAGGCTCTCTGTATATAAAGCTCCAAATACCATTTAATTTGATTGGGGAAAAAAAAACCAAAAACCTGTCCAACTGTCTTTTGAGGTCTACCACCAAAATAAGGAGCTGATGTGTAATATCTGAGTAATTCCATTAGTATTACTCTTCCTGTGACTTCTTTACAAGCCCCTCGTAGCCCTTTTTACCAGTTCTTTAGAATTCTCAAGGTGGCTTTGTGCTCATTGTGGATATTAGTACACAGGTGGTGGTGGATTGGGATGTGGTGAATGCCTCATTAAAAAAATACTCCCAGAATAACTCAGAAATAGGGAAGAAATTTGAATGTTAGATAAGTAGAACTCTTCCATTGTTATGAGATCTAATGGTGAAAGTCTACGGGATTAAGGAAACATTCACCATAATTCCTTTATTTGCAAGTAATAAATATAGCTTTAATTTTTTTGATCACATGCTGTATGCGGGGGGCTGTGATAGGCACTTTTCATATGAGTCTCAGTTCAAGACTACGTTAAATTTTCATTTAAACTAGCAAAAGTAAATGAATTAGAGAGGTAGGGCTAATAGTATGACCCAATCAAAATAAAATAATAATGCCTGTAGGAATTACAATTTGTGTGTATGTATATATACTTTATTTATTTACTTATTTTGGGAGGGTGGTGGAGCAGAGGCCCAGGGAGAGAGAGAATTTCTCTCAAGCAGACTCCACACTGAGTGTAGAGCCTGACCTCATCACCCTAAGATGATGACCTGAGCCGAGTCAGGAGTCGGATGCTTAACTGATGGAGCCCCCCCCAGGCGCCCCAAGATATTAATTCTGTCTAAAGTGAATGTCACTGATTCTATTTTATAGAACAGTTAAGTAACTTGGCCACAGCCATAGAGCTAGAAAGTCAAGAGAACCAGTAAGCCTTGTTGCATTTGGCTCACACTCATTCTCTGTTAAGCCTTTAATACGCTGGTAGATATTGTTGAATGGGACTGATTTCAAAAGAGGAGGAACTGAAGAATGTGAAGACAGATTTTAAATATTTGGCCTTTATAGATATAATTAATAAATATAATATGATATAATAAATTAATGAACACATATTCAGTATTCTATTTTTACTGACTTAAACTGTTCCACCATTTTTTTCCCACCATTTTCTCTTTTGATTCTTCATTTTCTCTTTTGATTCTTTGATTCTTTACTAGCCCTGCATGTGGGCTAGTAAATCCAGCAACCATTTGGCTGATTTAAATAAACTTCAGAATTCAAGTTTAAAAAATCTAGTTTCATTTAAATGACCAAAAAAGTAGGCATATGGTGAAATAAATACATGTACGTCTCTCATAATCCTATAGAAATAACCTGTATGTAATAATTATAACTTAGTCTTGTTCTCAGTGTGTACAGTATCAAGGGTAATTTATGAAATCAAGACACTCCTGTTGTGGTCCTCATACTCCGCTCCTCTCTTTACATCGAAAGAAATAGTAGGAGACAAAAGTAAAACCGATCTCTTTGGGCCCATCAGCTCATTTTGAGGCAGTTATGCAGATCACTCAGTATAATTCCGTTCAGCTCTCAGACCAGCCTTGGCTTTCCAATTCCCCTAGACTATCGACTTATGACATTTGACTCACATTTCTACTTCTTTTTTTAAATCTCTTTTTTGAGTTATAATTGACATTAAAAAGTTGGTTGAGCATCTGCCTTCGGCTCAGGTCATGATCCTGGAGTCCTGGGATCGAGCCCCACATCGGGCTCCCTGCTCTGTGGGGAGTCTGCTTCTTCCTTGGAACCTCTCGGCGCTCATGCTCTCTCTCTCAAATAAATAAATAAAATCTTAAAAAAAAAAAACACAGTATTAAAAAAAAAAGTTGCAGCTGTTCAATGCATATGGCTCAATGACTTTGAAGAGAAGTCTACACTATAAAACTCTTACCACAATAAGGATATAAGTCAGTCTGTCACCTCTGAAAATTTTCTCCTGTTCTCTTTATTAACTTTTTATATCGGATTTTTTTTTGTGTGTGTGTGTGGTAACAGCCCTTAACATACAATTTACTCTTTTAGCTAATTTTAAATCTTTTCTCTCTTGTTAAAGCTTCTCAGATCAGGGACGCCTGGCTGGCTTAGTCAGTTAAGCGTCTGCCGTGGGCTTGGGTCATGAACCTGGGGTCCTTGGATCGAGTCCTGCATCAGGCTCCCTGCTAAGTGGGGGGGGGTCTGTTTCTCCTTCTGCCTACCGTTGTACATTTTTTCAGTTGTTTTTGTGAACCCAATGACTCATTATTATTGTTCTATATAATCAGTTAACAATTAGACTTCACCACTTTTGGCCTTTACTAGTAGTAGTATTTTTAATTTTAGACATTCTGTTTGGATTTATTTTACTTTTTAAAAAAGATTTTA